GTAAGAGGAAAAGAGAAAAAGAATGGAAGAGGAAGAAGGCGCGGCTTGGAATGCACAGGTCTACACAGGTAGACTCCCTCAGGGAGGGCGAAGGGAAGCAACGCCACAATTTACAGGTGTAAGGCCGGGTCAATCTGGGGGAGGCGGGGAGACAGACACAAATGGGAGCTTACAGCGGGGTGCGCCGGAGCCGCGGGCAAAGCCAGAACACAGAGTTAGCAAGGAAAAGGGGGGGGGGGATTCCCTTTTGCCCTCCACGTGTCCCTCGGTGGACCCTGCTGCAAGTTTATAGCTGGGGTTTTAGGGTCCCCGGGTTGGGGGTGGCAAGTCCTTTACCTGCGGAGCCCTGGCGGGCCAGCAGCGCCCCGAGGCACAGCAGGACGCTCAGTCCAGCCATCGCTCCCAAGATCTACTCCTGGGGAAGCGCGGAGTTCAGGGTGTCCGGGGCTCTTGGGGGCTCGCCGGCCCTCGGTGAGGGGCTCCCCAGCTAGGATGCTCCGGCCGAGCCCCGACGATCGCCTCTGGGGCTCGCGCCCCGCCCCTGCGCCCAGCCCGCCCGGCTGGCGGAAAACAACAGGCGCTGGCCCCCTCCCGCCTCTCCTCTCCGGCAACTTCCTCCACCTTGACCGGGAGGAGGGCCTTGTGCGACGATCCCAGTCCCGCGGGGCCAGGGAGGAGGCAGCCCCGAGCGCTGGCCCGCCAGTGCGGGATGCGCTCCCAGGCCTGTGCACTGAGCGCGGGCTGCGGGGCTCCGGGCGCCGTCCCAGCCCTGCGGCTCTATCGCGCTTGTCATCTGGGTTCTCGGGTGCAGGGGCGGGCCACAGCGCCGCCATCGCTCAGAGCCCAGGGAAAGATGATCCTGCGACCGTCCGGCCAAAAGCAACCACGAGACTCGGGTTCTCGAATGAACTTGGGTCGAGACCACACGGGAAGAGCGAGTTTCGTTTTTCAGGTGCTCCCACGCCTGACCCTCTTGGCCTCCCCCAGCCCCCATCCTGGCAGAGTCCCGGAGCGCCACATTTCCGGGCTCAGCTTTCTGGCATCCCTATTCTGCGTCCTGATGGACACTGCCACTGCTGGGCCCTCGGGAGGATCTGCCCTTGAAACAGCTCAGAGAGAAACTTCGTGTTCAAAACAAAGATGTAGTCATCACCGTGGAATCTTCGCTGTGGGCTCTGGACGGTGGGTGTCCCTCGGCTCACGCTCTTCTAGTCTTTCTGTGAGATTATAAAAATATTGGGAGGGCTGAAGAGGACAGTGGTGTAGCGCCTGCGCCCGGCCCTGGGTTCCATCTCCAGCACTGTAAAACCAATCAAAGTAAAATATGGAGAAAATGCTAAAAAGAATAAAAATCACCGAAAACCTCACTGTCCCAAGGTAAGGCTTCCTAAAGAGAACGGCCTTTGAATCGATGAACACAAGGGAGTTTATCCGGGGATGACTCCTGCCTCCTGTTGGTCGTTAGGGCCACACACCTAGTTGCCATCTAGTATATATTAAATAAATGAATGTGCACGGTAGTTTGACACACCACTGGACTCTGTTCTACCTTGAGGCAATCCTCCTGCCTCAGCTTTTCCACGTTGGGATCACAGGGGCACAGCATGCCACCGTGGCTAAGTTAATTGCGCTCCAGACAAACTTTCTGGTCTTAAGTCAACAAGGGGATCATGGAAGCATTGCCCATCAATGTTTTGGCTAAGACTCTGGAATGTTCTGGAACCTTTATGGTGCCCAGAGAAGGGAATTTCACAGAACAGGCCTGGGGAGCTTGCTGACTCAACCACAGAGTTCCTGCAACCCTTGGACCTGAGACACCATTCAGTCCCTTTCTACTGGGCTGGGTTCCCTGGGGTTGCTCTCCAAGAAGAGTTGGTTGTCAGTAAACCCAGGACTAGATTTTGCTTATCTGACCCCAGGTCCATAACCATGTTCCAATGTTGTCACTTTTTTCAGTATCACTAAGGCCAGGGGGACAGAGGTCTGTATGTTTGAGCACCACACAGAGGAAAGAGCCCTCTGTTTGGAAACACCGTGGCCTGGTGTCCAGTTCTCAGAGTCACAGATGCCCTGGGAATTGCCAGGAAGACTGGCTGAACAAATGGGGTTTCCCATGGTAAAGTAGAGGCATCAATGGGACCCCTGGGTATGGGGGGGTGCTGATTTAAGTTTTGATGGACAGAACTGAGCATTGTCATAGAAATCTCTTATTGGAGCCAGGACCCTAAATGCCACAATCAAATACAGACTGTGAGGGGCTGGAAATATAACTTGGTTACTAACAGTGCTCACTGGTCTGGCAGACACCGTGAGTTTGATGCCAGCCCCCATGGTAGGCAGCCTAGCTCTAGCTCCAGGGACTCCAGCATATTCTTCTGGTCTCCCAGGACACCTTCCCATGTGTGTAAGTAAACATAGGCATAAGATTTTTTTTATTTAAGTGTGAGCTATAGGGCTGGTACATATCTGCCTAGGCTGCTACACATAGCTAATCTTGTCTGGTTTGTTTTTTTCCACCAATCAATGAATTATAAGGCAGGGGGAAAAATCTCACAGAAGGCCGAAAAAAAAATAACCCGGAAGAAACAGAGCAAAGTAAACAGAGAGTCTTCACAGAGCAGAGACCAGAGGCCAGTGGTGGTGTTCAGTGACTCTGAAGTCTTAACTCCTTGGGAAGGGCAAGCCTCCCTTCCACCCCTAATTTTGGGGTGATTAGCTTAGACAAAGAAAGGGGAGCAAATAGGCCCACAGAGTCAGGTAAACCTGTTCTGGACCCTCCTTGAACACATCTGACAGTTGTGTAACAGTTTTCTCCAAGATTGAAACATTCCATGCTTAAAGGAAGTTCTTTAAGCACGAAGGTAAAACAATTCAAAACAGCTTCAGGAAGTCCCTGAAAATGAGCAGATTCACTCGGCCCCCTAGTGAAGGAAATTGAAACTGCAAAAAGAAAACTCAAACTGAGCTAATAAAGAAGACTCTTGAGGCCAGAACCGGTAGCTGGAAGAAGCAGAGACTTCTAAGATGTCTGGAAGAGGTTTAGACCAACTAAGGTACCTGGAAAAGGGCACTCTCCAGTCCGTTGAGCTACCTGCAGGGTGTGCAGTGTGTTTCAGGTTCCTAGCTTTCTGAGCTGCCACCCATGCTGGGGTGGTATTCTTGTCAGGGTTTCTATTCCTACACAAAACATCATGACCAAGAACAAGTTGGGGAGGAAAGGGGTTTATTCAGCTTACACTTCCACATTGCTGTTCATCACCAAAGGAAGTCAGGACTGGAACTCACACAGGGCAGGAACCTGGAGGCAGGAGCTGATGCAGAGGCCATGGAGGGATGCTACTTACTGGCTTGCTTCCCCATGGCTTGCTCAGCTTGCTTTCTTATAGAACCCAGGACTACCAGCCCAGGGATGGCCCCACCCACAATGGGCCCTCCCTCCTTGATCACTAGTTGAGAAAATGCCCTACAGCTGGATCTTATGGAGGCATTTCCTCAAGGGAGTCTCCTTTCTCTGTGGTAACTCCAGCTTGTATCAAGGTGACACACAAAACCAGCCAGTACAGGTGGGCTTTAGTGACACAGCTGTCTGAGTCATTTTCAGTCCTGTAAGTAACCCCTCAGCCATATTCCGTCAAGTAATGCCAATAAAACTCATTGGTTCACCAAATTGGACTTCATTGGTATCTGGACTTTGGTCTGTCGTGGGTTCCGTATCTAGGGTGAGTAGAGGTGTGTTGTTCCATCTCCCCAGGAAAGGTTTCCCAGAAACACAAGCAGCTATAGGCGGTCCGGCTGGGAGGGGGGGAAAAAGGCCTCTGGGCTGTTGTCTCGGGTCAGGAGTGTGAAAAAGAAGCAAACCGTCCCCATTTTTGTTATTAGCAGCCGTTTCCCTGTCTGCCTGTTGGAGATGTGTGTAGCTCCAAGGCACTCTCATGCGTTTGGTTATCTAGGTCTTTGCTACGAGAGGGGTGAGTGTCTTCTTTCTTACTTTCCAAAGAATTCGGAGAGACTCCCATTATAGGAGAAGTTAAAGAGTCACAGTTTGAGGCCAGATCTCAGACTGTCACATTGTTTCTGATTGCTTCTTGTGTTCGCTGGGGATGGAGGCCAGGGATTCTTGCATGTTGGGCAGGTGCTCTGCCACTGAAACCATTCCCCTAGCTGGAGGTGCCGTGGGTGGGTGGGGGAATCGGGTAGGAAGAATTGCCTAAGATTCTGGCTGCTTCATGGGGGTTGCGTCTTCAGTCTGAGTCTTTGACAACTCAGGCAAGTCACCTTTGTGCCAATTATTTCTGCCCCACTCCACCTCTTGTCCCTAGAGGTGACTCTGAGAGAGTCTTAGTAACAACCTAGAGGTGTCCCCTGAGGCTTTGGGGGAAGTCCAGTGGGGACCAGCCTGGGTGGAAACAGGCGCTGCTTCTGCCACCCCTGCCTGGATTGCAGAGAAACAAATAAGGCAAACATCCAAGAAGAGAGGCTCGTGGGGTGAGGTAGAAAACAGCCGAGCTTGGTCATAACCGGAGCCCAGCCTCTCTGGAGCAGAGACGAGGATGGCGAAGGTCTATCTGTGGCTCCAAGACCCATGGGATTTGGAAAGAAGATCCACGCTCCCAGAAAGTGAAATTGCCTCTCTCAGAGGAAACAGGAAGATGGCCGCCTGCTTTTTGGAGGCTGACCCCAGAGGCTGATGGGAGGTGAATGAGCCAGGTACCCTAACAGGTGAGAGCAGCCAAGCAGGTTTTTGGAGATAATAAACTAACATTCACCACCATTCTGAGCCACCCCGAGGCTGGAAAATTTCCTCTTTGTCTGAAGGATATAACTCCAAGGGGGTGGGGGTGGGGGGAGAGCATTAGCAACCAAGAGACCTGCTGGGAGCAGACCTAGGGGGAACTTTGGTTCTCTCTCCTGTCCTTTAAATAGATTTCACCTATTTGCATATACCTGTGGCCAAGGCGGTTGCTATTTCACTAGGAATCCCTCAAGGCACGAGGCACGGCAGCTTGACCTGCGTCTTAATTTGTGGAGGCAGAAGGAACAAGTAGGTTGGGGATTGAAACTCAATCTTAGAGCACTTGCCTAGCATTTAGAGCACTTGCCTAGCATTGCTTAGTAGCCTCCGGCCATTAGGAATGGAGTGAGCTGTTCTGGGCAGTAGCCCCTAACCATAAAGAGATGCTTGGCCCCAGTCTGACCGGTCAGCACCACCTGCAGAAACAATATGTCCTGTCTGAAAAACAGCCCACTCTGTTCCCAGTCAAATCACACACAGACAAAAAAAAAAGAGCTCTAACTTTCTGGTATATGTACAGCTCTCCCCCCTCCCCCCAATCTCTGTAAACACACTTAGCTATCATCCCAGGGAAAGGTTGGGGCCCCTTGCTGTTCCAGTAAAGCTTTCTTAGTCTGCTGAGTTTGTCAGCCTCTCTG